CAGGAAGTTTTTGAGCAATATATTTTATGTGTTTTGACAGGAATAATTGCATAATAGTTAACATGGACATTTAACATAGACATCTGTACTACTACTACTACGGAACAAGTAATAGGTTTATTCCATGCTGAAAAAAAGAAGAAAGAGAACACAACGTTACGGCCGTGGAGCCTTCTTCAGGTGTCAACTACTACTACTACTACTATTATTGTTATGTAATTTGCAGGTTATAATTTGTAAGCTACTCTTTGTGACAATGTGCAAATTCTAACTGCTGTCAGATGCACAAAAATACAGTATACTGTGTTAAAAAATGTGGTGACTTTTATTTTTGCATAAACATCGTATCCAGTCATTAACAGTTTTAACTAAACTTAAGTTTTAACTTTTGTTGAAGTTTTTGCTTTTTTGTTGTTGATGATTTCTTAGCAACACATGAAAGCAGTTCATTCAAAAAGGATTTTAAGAAATCCTTGATTAAATAATCACCTTCCCACACAGATGTATTTTTTTGTATTTTAAGGGCAAAAATAATGATACGCAATTCTGTCTCCTGTCTGTAAAGGAGTTCTTTTCAGATAAGATGACATGAAATGTTAAAATATTTGAAGCAATCCAGAATAAAAAAAAAGTGAATGATGTATTTTAAAATGTAAGTGATGGCAGGGGGAAATGACTTTGTTTCTTCTCTAAAAGGATTAATCTTTGAGAGGTTTGGTCATGATGATTACAGTTATCATTATCTTGTGAACCTCCTTCAGACATCTGAAATGAAAACACTAATTGAGAACTGAAACAAACTAATTGTGGCATGACCAATTCATTCAAAAGAGTTCATGGGAAGACGTGGTCATTAGGTATTTGGTCAGTTACTTTGCATCACTGATCTTTAGACCGCTGTTATCTTACAGTAAGTATCCCTACCACCAACAATAGTCCCTGGATAGGAGAGTAGCGTGCTACCTCTTCTCCTCATTGGACAGAAAAAAGAAAGTACAGTAGGTAAAAGCTGAAGAGGAGTGAACAGCATCCATCCCCAAAACCAACAGCATAACTGTTTGTTGGTGATAGCTCTATAACATTTATTCCTTTCTTTCCTACTCAGTGGATGTCTGTTAATTCATTACTTCAATATAAATAGAATACTATATACAGTATGCAATATGTATACTAATTTACAATACATTCATATTGTGTACAATATAAATTCCATATAACAATATTGATGCCACAGTAAACATGTTCCATTTTGCTTCTCTTAAACTTTTTCTAAAGTCTCCATTCCCGAAAGTCAACATTTGTAATGTGGGCTCAGCTGGGCTGATTTGGGCCATCTTTGTCAAAGTAAACATTTTTGTTTCAGTTTTGAATTATACATGTTTATCTTTTAGGTAAATTATGTTTCATTCTGTGTATTTGCTTTCCAATGTTTTCAACAATGTTTTGCATCAGAAGTATTATTATTGTTGTCCTTAACATAAAGCAGTTTGTTTTATTTCATATAATCTTCTTTGTAGATTACTTTAGAATATCCTTAAAGAAACTATGTATATTATAAATCCTGTAATAAAAATAATACAAATATTTCAATATAATATAGATATTAAAAGATCCCAAAAGGCAATATGTAAAGTAAAAAAAATGCATATTCTGTATTTTCCATTAATGGGAGAACTCATACTTTTTCATTTTCAATTTGTATTGTTTAGATGAATTGCAGTTAGAACTTGTACAAGAGATGAAATTCAGGGTAGCAGGTGGTGTTTTTTGATTCAGCTACAATAATTGCAAACCAGATTTGTTTTGTTTCTGCAAGATTAAAATGAATAGCCACTGGTAGATTTGAAAATGCATTATTTTAAGGGCAAGTTCTAAGATCAATAAAAACAGCCTTGAACGGACCCTGATAACTTAGTTAGCCTGCTACAATGGTGGCCCTGCTCATTTAAAAAATCTTGTGACTGTGTCACTTAAGGCTCTCCTAACTTACAGGGAGTTGTATCAAAGAACTGCTGATTTACTTTGGAATCAATCAAGTCTTTCCTGTTATTTTGCTTTGAGCTTATAAGAGGCTTAGAGAAGCAAAATTGCATGGCCTTCTGGAGAAAAAGTAATTATGGTGCAGCTGATTTGCTCACAAAATGACTGATTTTACCTTTTTCTGTTGCAAATCTTTTGTTCCAGGTAAAAAATATTATAATGTACATATCACTATTTTTGATTTCAGCAACAGCTTGCTTAAATAGCAAGGGTCATTAACACTGAATTTCCCATCAAAAAGATTTAGCTTTGGATGTAAGTTCTATTGGTTTATTCTGTCATTTTCTTTTATTTTATTGAAAAAGTAAATGGGGCACATTTTGTTGCTCAATGAGATATTTGTTCATCCTGATCAGCAAAAACTTCATATTTAAGTAAAAAAGAGACCATGTACCACTTAGTGTGTGTGTCACATATTCCTTTATGCTGTGCAGTTATACAGATGTAAGTCCTGACTGTTTAAATCAAGAAGAAAACAAAACCAAATGATTTATTCTTAAGTGGGGCAATAAGAGCTAAAAAGCTTCTGTTCAATTCAAATGTATTATTTTTACTATCACATTACAGATTCAACAGTATTTAACATTTAATTCCTTTTTATTGCATTAACCCGCAGTTCACAGACGATAATTCAGCTGCCTGTGATTTCTAATAATTATTTCCACTTTTAATCCTTCTACAGCTTTTGGATTTTTTCCACTGAGCAACAGTGATTAAGTTCTGTAGAAAAAAAAATTTAACCAGCTTCAAGCTGATTACATTCCAAAGATATTATCTATATTTTATGTTCTAAATGAGTGGTTCTATTATTCTTAACAACTATCTACTCCAGCAGAACCTTTGAAATACTTCTAAAACTGTTATACATAATAGTTTTATTTTACTACTTATGATTTTTTTTTAGAATTTCTCATCTCATGTTTTTTAATTTTCATTTCAGAGGAAAACAAATTTAACAAAAAAATATTTTGAAGTTTCCAGAAAGTACTGTAAGTACTTAACTACACTTATGCCTTGGCTCATAATGCAAATATATGATATGTATATGATGTAAGTATAGTGGTGAATGTTTAAAGCTGTAATATGATGCTGAAAAGAGAGTGAGTCCAAACAAAAGATCACCTTTTAGCTTTGCTCCGGCTCTGTGTCCACTATTGCATTAGTTCCTTGCACTCTGATATTTTGAGTTCACATCTCAGCAAACAAGTTAAACCCTCAGGGACCCCCAGCTCCCTCTATTTTCCAGGATTGGCCTTAAGGCAGCACGTACATCAAGTTTATATTATTTTTCTGTATTGTGTGAATGAATCTTCAAATGTTGTGGATTCAAATGGGAGTGCTTTGTAAAGTGTTGTGAATAGTTTAAAAGTGTTTTCTAAAATACATCCAAAAAGCAAGTGTAATGTTGCCATAGCCAAAATGTAATGTAGTGTGCTCTCTGAATGCACCAGTTCTGTAGGGTTTGGGCATTTACTGGGACAATTTTTAATTGTAGCAGTAAATCACAAAGTTGATTCTTTTGATGGCTTTAGAATCCAACCATGCGACATAACTCAAACAACG